AGAGGGAAGTACACAGATGTAATATAAGCAAGTCTTTGCTCGCAAAGTGGAAAAAAGAGAGTGAGGACGATGGAGGGATGGAACCATTTCGAAGGAGGAGAAGGGAGACTTCAATCCAAGTGGCTTTAAGGGTTTGGTGGTGAAAACAAAACGCCATTTCCCTCTGAACTGGCCCTAATCATGAGGTCATCCTGAGGAATGGAGGGATACATCTCAGCTGTTAATGTCTTCAATATGGCTGTAAAATGCACAGCAGCAACTTCTGTTGATTTGCCTTGCCCACGTCACATCATTAGCCCTCTCATGCCTGTAATTTCCATGTTCTGTTTTCTGTTGGAGTCGCTCTTAACAAGTGTTTACAGACTGAATGCCAGAGAGAAGCGGGGACTCTTAGACAAGATTAACTGCAGTGTGTGCGTTTCTTTCTTTTTTCCTATTTTTTACTGTTTCTATGTTTGCGTGAGTACCTGTGCACGCTCCTATGTGTGTGTGTGTGTGTCCCAGCATAACCAGTAATAGTGAGCAGATTTTGCCCAGCAGGCACAATTACATTAAAATGTGTTCATAAACATGCTGATCAGGAGCCACCAAACAATGTGGTGTGCATGCATGTTTTGGTTTGTACATGGTTTATGGTTGAGTTTTCCTGAATCTGTCCAGTGTTTTAGTTTATGCCCACTGGTATTTAATACTGCGGTCAGACCTCCAGCATTCAACTCTTCTGAATTTGTGCCCTTTTTTTTTGTCTTATAGGTGATGGATGATGTTGGGAACCAGACTTCTTGCAGATTGGCTGGATTGAGACCTGGAACCGTGTATTTTGTCCAGGCATGTGTATTCATGTGCCAAAGTATATCATAATGTTCTTCAGAGATGGTCTGTGTTTCAGAGTTTAAAATATTTTATTTTCTCCAGGTCCGCTGTAACCCTGTGGGCATATACGGCTCTCGCAAAGCTGGGATCTGGAGCGAGTGGAGCCATCCCACTGCTGCATCCACACCCCACAGCGGTGAGGACATACTCATATACTGCAGTTCTCTTCTACTGCTGGAAACGGTCAGCTTCATAGGAGAAGAAGATGCTGCTATTTTACCTTTCTGGCTCAGTTATGCAGCCTATTTTTTTTTTTTATTGCATTGGCTGTTTAATTTGGAGCAGATGCATCAGTTAAATCAAATCAAATCAAATCAAGCTGATTCAACCAAACCAAATCAAATTATTCCAAAAATTCATTTCGAAAGCAAACCATTACTTATTTAAATTTGTATTTAATTATGTATTTGTTTTTGGCACTAAGTTGTGCTTCACAAATAAATAACAAAAGAACCAAAAAGGGGACCAAACAAAATTTCGTGATCTTGGATGCTGTAAAGCTGTGGCTGCCTGTAGTTGTTGCCTCATGTCATGATAATAGACACAACTACAAATCAGTTTTGGGAAGAAAAAAAAAACCTTTAATTTTCCTTAAAGGGTTTCCCAAGCCATCCCATGAATGTCAAGAATTTTGGCAAAAGTCCTAGAGTGATAAAGGCTGTGGCATTCAGTGCCTGAACTTTTCCATGGCTCTTTCAATAGATAAATTTATCCACTGTTTCACAAAAGTCCTAAAGTTACACACACTTGGCTAGCTGAACTTTGTTTTGCTTCTTTCCTACCCATTGGTTGGGAACCACTGTACTAAAGTGCATCAAGTGGCGCATCAGTCATTCCAATAATCTAATATATAATAATAAATCAGTAACATGGGTCATTTTTGTTTTAACTTTGAATCTTTAAGTACATTACTTACGCCCTCCCTCCCTCTCTTTTCTTCCTGCAGAGCGGCTGATGTCAGGCTCCTGTGACTCCAAGTCCAGCGGGGACTCCAACTCCACCCTGCGCAGGGAGCTGAAGCAGTTCTTCGGCTGGGTGCGGAAACACGCCTACGGCTGCAGCAGCATGTCCATGAAGCTGTATGACCAGTGGAGAGTGCTGATGCAGAAATCCCACAAAGCTCGCAACCAGGTAGGTAAGCATCACCAATGCAGGGATGAAACACATGCAAACACACACATGCTTCCAAAATTAAACACAGACACGCATGCAGACACAAAGTAAAAACAGTCTGTTTTCTAAAAGCTGGGTTGTAACAGATTTTGTCTTCTAATTTAGGTTCTCCAAGGGGATAAATCCTAGCACATGCTGAATATACAAGCAGAAAACAAATCAAGAAAAGAACTGACTGAGTGTGTTGTGTGTTTTTGTCTTTGTATGTGGAAGAGAGATTGTGAACATATATGGGAATTACAAAGACAATTTGTTTTGGACATTTTCTTGTGGATACCAGCAATGGGTGTGAGAGGACATCCAAAGAAAAGCAGGGGGACTTTCTTCCATTATGCATTTTTTTCCAGCTGACAGGAGCACTGTTGTTGCCTGAGAAGGTGCAAGTGGGAAGGACTGAGAAGCTGGACTCATCATGGACATCCTGGTATCATGTGGACGACTCTGCATTCACAAAGGACATTGTAGCATGAAAAACTCGGACATCTGTAAAGATGTTTCACGTGGTACCTGCTCTAAATGTGCACACGTGTGGTCAAAACAGATTCAAACAAACCAGAAGTGTTGCTGTGGCATTTTAAAGTATTCTCTCCTGTGGATCCAAAGCACCATCTAGTGGCTGTCTGGCATGCATGGATACTTCAATCAAAGCTTTCACTGTGGACCTGATGTAAAAAGAAAAAAGTAACAAGTTATCTTACAGTATTTCTAATTCATGCTTTGTTATGGAAGAGGATAATGTGCCAAAATGGTTCACCCAGGATTCTTCTGTTTCTGAGTGACAGTACGCGACTGATGACATGATGGTGTTTGTGTATGGAGACGTTTCATTACATTTATTTTTATACTGAATTGTACCAGCATATTTAAAACTGTATAAAGTTGTTTTATTTCTTAAGTTATGTTTAGTTAGCAAAGAAATATCAATGACTGAAGGTTTTATCAATCCCAAATGTTGATCTATAAAAATGTTGTCAGAAACAGAGTTTGATGATGAATTGTGTGTACGCAGTGACAGACATACCTCTACTCCTTCTGTTTTTTCAGCTTGCTCCTGTTGAATATAACTTACTGCCTGACACATACAAAACAGCAATTTATGTAGACAAAGAAAACATAATAATATGAAAATTAATTTTGTCTTCATCCACCATCAGGCTGTTGGTGAGCTTCTGTCAGGGCTTGTCTTCCTGGTGTGTCCTGGACCATTGGCACTAGTCAGACCCTGTCGGCGGCATTTTACATGTTGAATTGGTGTCGGACCTCGTCGCCGAAAGAGACCACTCTCTAGATGGAGTGGGTGTTCAGCTCCTGGAAACCTCCTTCAGTCTGTCGCTGTAGTTTCCATGATTTCACACATTTAGTGTGGTTTCTGTTAGTTTTTCACCTCCACAGCCTCCATTCTTCTTCCACAACCAAAATGCCGAGAGCAGAGAACTGCTTATCAGACATATTCTCAATTAGAAGCAGTTATAAACAGCAGCTGTTTTGAAAGAGCACTGCTTTGTTTACAGTTTATGTTTCCGCAGTCTAGCACTTCCTCTTTTCCTTTCTCAGTGGTGAATACAGATACCACCAACTGCTGATAAGGGGAGTTATTTCTGTCGTGCAGGTGCACAATGTGTGCGTGCTAAATGGCTGTTGGCTGTAGTCTGTGTGGTGTGCCACTTTTTTGACCTGAGCGGTGATGTGAGGTGATGCAACAGTCAGCGCTGCCCCTAAAGCAATACTATTGGTCCCTTCTCAAATAAGAGAAAGCCGGAGGATCTTGTTAAGAATTTGTTTTGTTCGATTTTTATTTTGTCTTCATTTAGTATACGAAGAGGTTTTGCGTTTAGCAATGAAAGCCAAAGTACAGTTATAGCCAAAGATGTCATTCCTGAAAAGTCCACAAAATGCTAATTTACATCAGATGACAAAACGAGCACAACCAGTTTAAAGCCACCTACTACAGTATATGGCTCACCCCAAGCAATGTTTTCAGCTTATGAGACCTCCGCTCAGGACCATGTAGATGCCTAAAGTCTGTGTTTGACTGACATCTCCCGCACTCATTTAGTCTCCAGTCAAGCCAGGACACTTTACACCCTTTAATTATTCTTATTGGTAAAATGATTTTGCAGACCTCGGGTGATTCTTAAAACAGCTCCATCCAGCATCACCCTGAGTAGAAACAAATTAGTCAGTGTAACAGAGTATCTGTGTGGGTGTGCAGGGCCTTAGAACTGGAGTGAACTCAGACAACTCGTGCATGTTAAAAGCGATGTTACTCTAAATTTGTTGTGTTATTGTTCAAAAGTTTTGGAATTTTTTTATATGCAACTGGACCCAGAACTCTATCAGAATACACATAGTAGTGGTGGACACTCATTACGCAGACTTCATACATTTTGGGAATAGTAGAGCTTTTAGATACTGTAAATGCTAGAAATTTTTGATCAAACCTTGCAAATGATTCCTCATCCATCAATCCGTTAGTAATAACTGCTTATACTTGAGGTTTTCAGGATTTCAATTGCCAGATGTGTTCAATAATTATTGCTATAGCCCAAACCTACAATATTTTATCAGTCATAGAAAAATGCAACTGTGTATAGAATATTCAGCAAAATGTCTCGATGTGGCAAAAGAAGTGCATAGCACAACAAATGAAAACAGTCTCAGTTGCAGAACATGTTTGTAGGTGGGAAATGGTATAGTGTGCAGTACATGGACCATGTTGGATCGAGGAAAACTTCTGCTCCTCCCAAACAAAATTCTGCCCACTTGGTGGTGCTACCTGCTCCTAATTTAGTTTTTCTTTGTCCCATAACCTAACCTTCCACCAGGTAACCTAAAAAAAAACAGACCATCAGGAATGAAAAAAGCTGACATCTCTGACAAAAACGTTCCCCAGGGAAGCTCGGCTGCATCTCATCCTGTTGTTTTACACAATCTAACACTGCCTGCTGTATTGCCAGGTTGTGTTTCTGGTCAGCGCCCGCCGTGCTGACAGTTCATCCCCTGTTGGTGACACTGCAGAGTCTTATTACCAAGCCTGTGACCGTGAGTCACTGGTGTTTAATATTTAACCAGTGTGATGTTTTGCTTGCTCATGGCTCTGCTCTAAAGGCTTTAGTTACCCCTGCATTCAGGGATAGAATTTTGAGATTGACAGTGCCAGAGGATGAATTTTTCATCTGGACAGTGGACATATTTGTCCAAAGTTACTCTAATCCTCTTCAAGGTTTTTCTACCATAGTTGACACTTTTCAGATGCTTCCTGTATGCTAAGCCAGCAATCCAAGCAGCCTAGTATGAAATAATGTGGAGTTTTCTGGCTGCAAACCCATTTTAGGGCCCATAATTCTCACAGTCCAAGAAATTAGCTTTGTAGCCTGGCTTCATTGAGGAAAGTGTTTGTCAGAGATGTTGGCTTTTCTCATTCCTGATTGACTGTTTTTGGTTAATTAGCAGGAAATTTTGTAGTTGTATGTATATCTGAAGATTTTTTTTTTTATCCAATTTTCAAACACACAGGCAAAACCTTTAAGGATTATTATATATTTCAAAAAATATATTTGAAAAATTAAAATATACAGTCAGACAAATATTAAATAATCAGTCTTACAAATCTTTTGTTGCTCTGCCTGCTTTTCAACAAACTAACATTATGTTTGTATCTCTAAGTTGAGAAATTGTTTTCCAAGTTTTTTTGCTTTAATTAAGTAAAGCGCCGATACAACAATGTAAAAATACTCCTTTAAAACTAAAAGTCTTTCATTCTATGCCCTAATTAAGTAAAATTAGAGAAGTTTTATCCACAAAATGTACTTGACATATCAAAGGTTGAAATAATTAGCTCTGTATAAAATTGTCCCTTTGATTCAAATATTAATATATATGACATAATTAGATTATTAATACTGATGCATAAATGCACTTTGCAGCAATGTACAGTCACCAGATGTACCGGCTGCTGCTGAGATAATTTAGTGATCTAAACTATATTTAGTGAGTGAGAAAAGGCTGGGTGATGTTTAATGCTTACCAGTTCATGGTTTTCATTACAGCCGTTTCCAGCCTGTCAGATATCCACCTGCAAAAGAAGATCAGTGTAAGTCATTTCAGTCTTAATAGAGTGTGTTATTAGTTGCAGCATGTGCACTGTGGTTGAAAGGCTCACCATGCATACTGCACTTCAGTAACCTAATGCCTGGGAATAAGAAGCAAAATGAACTATATTACGTCCTGTGACATGTTTAATGTGGCAGTGGTTTAAGACTTCAGAGCACTTTTCCTTTGAATCTCAATACATGACTAGTTGTACAGAAGCAGCTTCAGTGCTGATTTTGTTCTTTATTCAACTTTAAAAGATAGCCCTAAAACATCTCACTCCTCAGCAATCACTGGTTCTCTGCAGTTAAGCCAAGATATTTGAGTTTTTGGCCACAGCTCAATTCTTTGTCCTGAGACGCCCCTGGGGAAATAGAGGCGGAGAGCAGGTTGGATGCAAACCCAGGGCCTTAGTCAAGATAGGGTTTCTCTAGCTCATGGCCATGTATAATTCAGGTGGCGGCTCACCTAGTGAGGGAGACACTTAAGAAAAGGATGTGTCTGAAGTGACAGTGTAGCTGAAGAGGAAGGGAAAAGAAGAAAGAAGATGGAAGGAAGAAGCTGGCATAGTATGGAGGAGGTCGCGAAGAAACGGCCAATAATCTCGGCTAGAGAAAGAGGTTAGTCTCAGAAATCTGTGTGTGTGTGTGTGTGTGTGTGTGTGTGTACATCCACATGGACAGTATTATAGCTGAAAGGGTTTTGCTACGAAATCAGCAGCACTATACAGTCATTGCTTCATTCTGGTTTGAGATTTCTACTTTGTTTAGAATCCATTCTCAAACAAACAGATGAAGGATGTTAAAATGCATAACCATAGAAAATAAGTCAAAGAGCTCCATATGGAAATCATCACAGAAAGCACAGGCCAAGACAAAGACCAGTGGGTGTGCTGTACTGCTGCTTGGAACCAAATCTGTTGCATCATTTTCATCACTGTCCTTCTTCTCCTCTTTCTCATCGTCAGGCCCGGGCCCTGCACGCTACGCTCTGCCCCCTACAGTTGGATACATCAATCATGACTTCACTAAGCCCACCAGCCCGGCATACTCCTTCCATACCCGTCTGAGCAGCATCAGTGAGTTTTAAGATGCTAATCTCTAAATATGTCATGTTTTACCTGTTGCCTGCAGAAGCCCATTTTATAGTCACGGGGACCCTAAATGTTTTATGTTAATATTTTAAATGTTTTCATTGGCTTATTAGTCTTAATGATGTCAGAAGATATCTTTGAGGATGGTTTGTGTACTGTGTCTTCTGTAGTGATCTCTGAGGACTCCAGCCCTGGACCAAGATATCACGTTGACGCCAAGGTTACCCGGTTTGGCCGGATGGATACACCATCCTACTCTATTTTGGGCAGAGGAAGGCGCATAGAGAGTAAAGGTGATAAATATGAATAACACCCCTGTACGCTCTCCAATTTACTAGTAGGTTTATTTATTTATTTATTAACCTTCTTCAAGTACTGTATATAGGCAAGTATCACAACAGTCTCAAGAAAAAGTAATGGCACTGTTTGCAATTTCCTAGTTTTTTGCATAAATCGATCATGAAATGTGATCTGATCTTCACCAAAGTCATAAATACCAACAAACACAATATTTTTAAGCTGATAAAACACACCCATTAAACATACAAATTGATGGTGACAGCAACAGTGTTTTGAAAGCTGGTTGAACCACCTTTGGCAGCAATAACCTCAATAATGTTCAATAAAGACAGGAATGATCATGACTGTTTGTGTTTTTCAGCTTAGAAATATTGTGTTTGTTGGTATTTGTGACTTTGGTGAAGTTCAGCTCACATTTCATGAGCAATTTATGCAGAAAACCAGGAAATTGCAAACAGTGTCATGACTTTTTCTTGTGACTGGTAGATGCTGGGTAAAGTATTGACTGAGACCACAATGGAAATTAGTTCATCTGGTAAATGAAACACCCTAGGTAGGCATCAAGGAAATTAGGTAAAGAATGCAAGTGTTCTTTAAAGCATCACACTATCACAAGATAGGAAAATGATCTCAAAATGACAGTAAGGGAAAAAGTATGATAAATATATAATTTCCCTTAACATGGAGAATTACAACATCAGCAGGAGTAACTACCATACCCTCAATATTTTATGGACAATGAAGTTTAATAGGTTTTTTGTGAATGTGGGTCCTGGTTTAGCAAGTAGCATTTGTACAGACGTCATTATAAATAACAATACAATTGAAAGGAATATGTGTTCTATGTTTCTGAAGCCAATAGTTAGTGTGCTTTGTATTCTTCATTGATTTTACCATACTTAGAGTATGGCGTTGAAAACTGGGGAAATACATACAAAAGCTCACTTCAACCATTGTATATAT